ATTATTATTGGAAAATCTGTTAGGGTTTCATTATAAATATATGCATGCATGTGTGCGTATGGTAACGGTCGTCACTCTCATTGAATATTTGTAAACCCTAAAATCCTCTACAGTTGACGTTCTTTATCGAGCTCTTCTGAGGATTGTTTATTGAATCATTCGACACTTTTTGCTTCTCTGGTAGCAGAGAGCACCCTGAAGGAAGATCTTGTCAAGCACCAGGCAACCATCGACCTACAAAAGATCCAACTAGCCCAGGCACAACAAGAAATTTCTTTGCTAAAGACTCAGCGGGCAGTTCTTCAAAGTTGCGCTCGTGATGTCAAGAATTTGTTAACAAATATTCTTGACACTCATGATCCCTTCCTTACCCTTACTATCAGACAACATCTCCAGGCTAAACTCCTTCCTGCTATTAACATCTTGAGTGAAATGAAGGGTGTCTCGGAGAAGCTTGTTCTTCCGCGACAAGAGGGAGAGGAAGGTTTGTCGAAGACAGAACCGAAGGTTAACGTACCTTCGGGTTCTGGGAAACAAGTCCTTGTTGAGAGCGAATCAGATTCAGATGAAACTATCACTGAAGCTCTTCAACGCAAGAAAAGGGACAAAGAGCTTGATGAAACTCTTAAAATAGCTCGAGAGGCCGAGGCCAGGGAAAGAAAGATCAAGGAGGATGAGGATGCTATTCAAGCCAAGAAGACTCTGTTCCCAGATTGGGACAGAGATACACTCATCACTCAAGCGATTGAGTTTCCCTCCATATATTGGTTGGAACCGATTGCATCCTTTGAGTGTGAAAATACAAAAAGACTCGCAGTTCGACATGCCAATCACGCGAAAAGCTTTCACATTTCATTGCTTTGATGTCACTGCCGATGTCCCTCATCCGAACTTGAAGGTTGACAGAGAGTTAATAGATTTGTATCTGAAGTATGGTCAACCGCAGTACTTGACATGGAGCGCTCAGAAAATTATTAAAGTCAAACCACTGAAACCGACACAGGCTGGGAAATTTGTGAACGTTAATTTCAAAATCAACAGAGGAACAGCCAACACAGAACATCTCATTTCTCTGGCAGATCTTCCCAGTTTGAATCCGCGTGATTGGATTCTGCTATACAACATTCTTCTCTCCAACCATAGAGAGTATGAACCGATTCTTAAACATCTTAAAAGAATGTTGGCTTCCTACATCCATGAGCTCGCCACTATGGATCAGGAAATAGCAAAGGTTATGAATAAGAAACCGACCGTCAAGCCTACTTCCAAGACAGGAGATGTTCATAAAATGAAGGTAGGGCAAATTGATTCTTCCAATCTAACGGTCATGTTCACCAGAGGCGACAAGCATAAGTTTCTGTTTGCTTTGGTAGACAAACATCTGTTTTCTACAGATTGTCTGGAGCATATTATAAATATCATTCACCGATGCAAACAGAACTCAACAGCAGACAAGAAGAACTTCACTGACATGCTTCGTTGGTATATCACCTTCAGGCATCACATTCTGGCTATAATACCGAAGATTTTTGAGACGGTAAAGAAGCCTTCTGCTGTCAAAAGAGAATGAAGATTCTGTGCCAAAGACGCAAAGGGGGAGATTGTTGAAGATAATAGAGTTGCGTCTTGGGCCCTTTTGTTTTACAACTGGATTGGGCTTGTCAATCCGTGTTCAGCTAGATTAGCCTTATTATTATTAGAAAATCTGTTAGGGTTTCATTATAAATATATGCATGCATGTGTGCGTATGGTAACGGTCGTCACTCTCATTGAATATTTGTAAACCCTAAAATCCTCTACAGTTGACATTCTTTATCGAGCTCTTCTGAGGATTGTTTATTGAATCATTCGACACTTTTTGCTTCTCTGGCAGCAGAGAGCACCCTGAAGGAAGATCTTGTCAAGCACCAGGCAACCATCGACCTACAAAAGATCCAACTGGCCCAGGCACAACAAGAAATTTCTTTGCTAAAGACTCAGTGGGCAGTTCTTCAAAGTTGCGCTGGTGATGTCAAGAATTTGTTAACAAATATTCTTGACACTCATGATCCCTTCCTTACCCTTACTATCAGACAACATCTCCAGGCTAAACTCCTTCCTGCTATTAACATCTTGAGTGAAATGAAGGGTGTCTCGGAGAAGCTTGTTCTTCCGCGACAAGGGGGAGAGGAAGGTTTGTCGAAGACAGAACCGAAGGTTAATGTAGCTTCGGGTTCTGGGAAACAAGTCCTTGTTGAGAGTGAATCAGATTCAGATGAAACTATCACTGAAGCTCTTCAACGCAAGAAAAGGGACAAAGAGCTTGACGAAACTCTAAAAATAGCTCGAGAGGCCGAGGCCAGGGAAAGAAAGATCAAGGAGGATGAGGATGCTATTCAAGCCAAGAAGACTCTCTTCCCAGATTGGGACAGAGACACACTCATCAATCAAGCGATTGAGTTTCCCTCCATATATTGGTTGGAACCGATTGCATCCTTCGAGTGTGAAAATAAAAAAGACTCGCAGTTCGACATGCCAATCACGCGAAAAGCTTTCACATTTCATTGCTTTGATGTCACTGCCAATATCCCTCATCCGAACTTGAAGGTTGACAGAGAGTTAATAGATTTGTATCTGAAGTATGGTCAACCGCAGTACTTGACATGGAGCGCTCAGAAAATTATTAAAGTCAAAGTACTGAAACCGACACAGGCTGGGAAATTTGTTAACGTTAATTTCAAAATCAACAGAGGAACGGCCAACACAGAACATCTCATTTCTCTGGCAGATCTTCCCAGTCTGAATCCGCATGATTGGATTATGCTATACAACATTCTTCTCTCCAACCATAGAGAGTATGAACCGATTCTTAAACATCTTAAAAGAATGTTGGCTTCCTACATCCATTAGCTCGCCACTATGGATCAGGAAATAGCAAAGGTTATGAATAAGAAACCAACCGTCAAGCCTACTTCCAAGACAGGAGATGTTCATAAAATGAAGGTAGGGCAAATTGATTCTTCCAATCTAACGGTCATGTTCACCAGAGGCGACAAGCATAAGTTTCTGTTTGCTTTGGTAGACAAACATCTGTTTTCTACAGATTGTCTGGAGCATATTATAAATATCATTCACCGATGCAAACAGAACTCAACAGCAGACAAGAAGAACTTCACTGACATGCTTCGTTGGTATATCACCTTCAGGCATCACATTCTGGCTATAATACCGAAGATTTTTGAGACGGTAAAGAAGCCTTCTGCTGTCAAAAGAGAATGAAGATTCTGTGCCAAAGACGCAAAGGGGGAGATTGTTGAAGATAATAGAGTTGCGTCTTGGGCCCTTTTGTTTTACAACTGGATTGGGCTTGTCAATCCGTGTTCAGCTAGATTAGCCTTATTATTATTAGAAAATCTGTTAGGGTTTCATTATAAATATATGCATGCATGTGTGCGTATGGTAACGGTCGTCACTCTCATTGAATATTTGTAAACCCTAAAATCCTCTACAGTTGACATTCTTTATCGAGCTCTTCTGAGGATTGTTTATTGAATCATTCGACACTTTTTGCTTCTCTGGCAGCAGAGAGCACCCTGAAGGAAGATCTTGTCAAGCACCAGGCAACCATCGACCTACAAAAGATCCAACTGGCCCAGGCACAACAAGAAATTTCTTTGCTAAAGACTCAGCGGGCAGTTCTTCAAAGTTGCGCTGGTGATGTCAAGAATTTGTTAACAAATATTCTTGACACTCATGATCCCTTCCTTACCCTTACTATCAGACAGCATCTCCAGGCTAAACTCCTTCCTGCTATTAACATCTTGAGTGAAATGAAGGGTGGCTCGGAGAAGCTTGTTCTTCCGCGACAACGGGGAGAGGAAGGTTTGTCCAAGACAGAACCGAAGGTTAATGTAGCTTCGGGTTCTGGGAAACAAGTCCTTGTTGAGAGTGAATCAGATTCAGATGAAACTATCACTGAAGCTCTTCAACGCAAGAAAAGGGACAAAGAGCTTGACGAAACTCTAAAAATAGCTCGAGAGGCCGAGGCCAGGGAAAGAAAGATCAAGGAGGATGAGGATGCTATTCAAGCCAAGTAGACTCTCTTCCCAGATTGGGATAGAGACACACTCATCAATCAAGCGATTGAGTTTCCCTCCATATATTGGTTGGAACCGATTGCATCCTTCGAGTGTGAAAATACAAAAGACTCGCAGTTCGACATGCCAATCACGCGAAAAGCTTTCATATTTCATTGCTTTGATGTCACTGCCAATGTCCCTCATCCGAACTTGAAGGTTGACAGAGAGTTAATAGATTTGTATCTGAAGTATGGTCAACCGCAGTACTTGACATGGAGCGCTAAGAAAATTATTAAAGTCAAAGTACTGAAACCGACACAGGCTGGGAAATTTGTGAACGTTAATTTCAAAATCAACAGAGGAACGGCCAACACAGAACATCTCATTTCTCTGGCAGATCTTCCCAGTCTGAATCCGCATGATTGGATTATGCTATACAACATTCTTCTCTCCAACCATAGAGAGTATGAACCGATTCTTAAACATCTTAAAAGAATGTTGGCTTCCTACATCCATGAGCTCGCCACTATGGATCAGGAAATAGCAAAGGTTATGAATAAGAAACCAACCGTCAAGCCTACTTCCAAGACAGGAGATTTTCATAAAATGAAGGTAGGGCAAATTGATTCTTCCAATCTAACGGTCATGTTCACCAGAGGCGACAAGCATAAGTTTCTGTTTGCTTTGGTAGACAAACATCTGTTTTCTACAGATTGTCTGGAGCATATTATAAATATCATTCACAATATAAAATGTTAAAACCAGAGAATTATGTATTTTTCTACTATCTATGTAATGTAGTTTTTGACTTATAGTATTTATGCATTTAAATTTTTTCTGGATTTATAAATAATATAAACAATATAAAATATATTATTAATAAAAATAGCACTTGTAGCAGGGAAGATCTATGTAGGTGTCCGGAGTAGCCTGTGATACCCCTTAAATTTTTAGGCGCAGTGGAAATTTTTTAAGAATTTTTTCCTGTAGTGCAATTTTTTTCGGTGTGTTACTCATGCCATGTCTTTCAAGCTCCGTCATTGATTTGTGGCGACAACATTTACGACTAACACTCCTTCTAGTGATGATGATGAACTCCAGCAACAGTTGACATAGAACTCCGGTCGCTGTACCGGAATAATCAATAGCGGTGACGGCAATTGCAACATCATATCCAGATCTTTTACCAACGTCACTCGGTAGCGACGAAAGCAATAGCGGCCTCATTTTAGCATTAGCCACATAGAAATAGGGACGACGACCACATGTCGTCGATGGAACTGGCCGCGATTTTTCTTCCCTGTTTGGACACTTTTTGTCACGGCCATAGATTTTTTGTTGTGACACATGATATTTTCATTTATTCGTCAACTAATGTATATACATTAATGATAACAAAATACGTTTATGAATATTTATACATGCATGACGTCTAGATACGGAAAACTGAAGCAAGAAAATGACTGTTTTATTGACAAAATAAAATATCCTGGAACCGTAGGACAGCTGTTTCCTCCATTCTATTATTGAAGAAGACAAAAAAACCAATCAAAACCGATATGAATCAAATACGTGGGTATTTGTTATTTTACTTGTTCATAGGAGCAAACTTGGACTTGATTTTTTGCACTTCTTTGGTTCCAATTTGGAATGCCTTAGTCAGCACAACATCTTCCACCGGCGGAGATGACCCGAACAAAGTGTCTGCCGCCCTTTGGGTACCCGGCAACTGGCTGTTAAAGCCAGCAATCACCGCTGCAGGAACCTTTCCATTGTTTATTTGGAAGTGAATTAAGCCTCTAGGGAACGTAAAGACTTCACCCATCTTGATTGTCTTGGTGAATAGTTTGTTTGCTGTAGTTATGAAGCCCACATCCAGTTCTCCGGTCAACACAAACACTATCTCGGTGGCTCTTGGGTGGGTGTGTGGTGGGTTCAGGCCTCCAGGTGCGTAATCAATGCGAGCCATGGCGACGCCCAGAGTGTTAAGCCCAGGGACTTGTTGGACAAAAGCAGGTGTAACAGTTGCACCGAATGTGTTGTTAGTGAGAGCTGCCTTCGCTAGCCCCGCAAAGAAAAAATTGTCTGCAGTAATGTTGCTTTTGCAGGGGAATCCGTTCAATTTTATATCTGCTTTTTGTACAATAACTCATCAACAATTTAACTTCTCATCGAATGACAAAACACATCATGCAAATATGCAATCTTGTCAATGGAATATCACAAATGGAAAATGATGAATGCCGCTAGTCTACCAAATGTAGTAGATATGACAACAAAGAGTTCAATTATTAAGTGATCTAAAACTAGGAAATGATAAGTACATTAAGCTGAACTTTTGAACAGCTTAATGAACCTTTTTCTCTCATATGCGCCAACTATTTGACCAAGAAGTTGATGAGTCATAGGCTCATAGCTCAAACTTGGAGGTCTATAGAATGTAAAGCGGTTTCTTGACATATGTATGGAAACCAATCCTTTTAGAATAAGTAGAGATGAAGTACCTGAGGCAAGATCTGCAACACAGACATCTTGAAGCAAGTCGGGGTCTGCAGAGACGAAGGAAGCCAAGAAGATAGGCATCAACATGCTAATCACCAACACATAAGCACGAGTAGCCATGGCAAGTCTTGATTACTCAGATTAAAGAATACACGCTTTATCGCTGTTTATGGGGAAGGTGATCAAATGATTATTAAGGGAAGAAAGGTGGATTTGAGTAGGAAGACTGATGGTGGTATTTATAGTGGATTGAGGGAGGAGGCATTTGCAGTTTCAAATCGGTAGCGGGTCGCTTTTTTCGATACCCTAGAATATAATCTCTAGTTGTGTCTTATACTAAGGTCATTAATTTTATGTTTTAAGATAAGTCGGAATTTCATGTTTTGAATTGGTCTTCAAATTTTGTCAACAAAAATGTTTGTTGTTTTTGTTATCTGGGTTGGAATATTAAACATACATTCTCAATTCCTACAAATTTGTAATCTAACATGCAAAACCATGCCGTGAAATTAGTAATTATGTTTTTCCGAGTATTGTATTTAGTAAATTTAATTATCAAGCTTTTTAAAATAGTATTTTAGTATATAGTTACAGTTTATATGTACTCATGCCCAATTAAACATAAAAGAAATTCTTTCTTTGTAGTAAATACTAATGTTTGATTTAAAAGCTACTAAAATATAATGGAAAATATATATTAATTTTTTCCTACTATTTACATAAAGTTATAATTATCACCACAATTTTAATGATATAAATTGTTAGGAAATCGTATTAATTCTAATTACATGCTTTATTAAATAAATAATATATAATTATAGCATAAAATAAAATACGTAAATGGAAGAATTCTCAAACAACCTCATTACAAAGCAATTCAAAACCATCTTATTAAATTGTTTTTTTTTCTTTGAAACAACAGTAATTTTGTAAAAAGAAAGACAAATAAACCCTCCCCCCCCCCCCCCCCCCCCCCCTCTACAGATTCTTAAATTAATTTAATCAATCAAGAAAGGATTGATTGAATGTTCGTTAGATTTCAATTATTTCCAAACCATGATTACAACTTCCTCAGATTTTACGTTCAGTTTTTTATTAGGCATTTTAAAATAATATAACATTGTTGTTATCTTAAATCATATGATGTATTCTTTTTATTCAGAGAAGAAAATGTATACATTCATATTTAATTAAGAACCTACACCTCCTGCATGTTCCATGCTTCTAAGAACTATATACCTTCATAGATGATGCATGATATTGCAAATACCGATATTTATTAATTTGTTAAAAACTTATAATATAATTAACTACAAAACCCAATGGATACACCCAAAGGGTTGACAAACACTCTCCATCAGAAACACTTTTATTATAAGTCTAATATAGGAAGTAGCGGGGGTAGCTACTTTAAAATATGTAAATCGTACACAACAGGCATATATGGTTCAACTTCCATTCATTGTTTATATATATATATATATATATATATATATATATATATATATATATATATATATATATATATATATATATATATATATATATATATATATAGGGTTAAGTTTACTTAAAACCACCAATATTTGTGAAAGCGTCAAACTATTTTTATTTTATTTTTATTTTTTTTAGTTAATTTAAGTTCCGAAAATAATATTTTAAATTTTTTTTTTTTGTAATTTTCCATTTATTTTGCATTTTCAAAATTATTTTTTAGAATATGTACAATGTAAAATTCTCTTAGAATATTTCACGTATTTAAAAAAAAAAAATAAAACGGGATTTTTTTTTATTTTTTTTAGTTAATTCATGTTCTGAAAATAATATTTAAATTTTTTTTTGGATTTTTCTATTTATTTTGCATTTTAAAAATATTTTTTAGAATATGTACAATGTAATATTCTATTAGAATATTTCACGTATTTTTAAAAAAAATGGTATTTTTTTTTAAATTTTTTTTACTTAATTCAAGTTCCTAAAATAATATTTAAAAAAAGAATTTTTAGATTTTTCCATTTATTTTGCATTTTAAAATTATTTTTTACAATATGTCAGTGTAATATTTTATTAGAATATCTCACGTATTTTTAAAAAAAAAAACGGGATTTTTTTTTATTTTTATTTTTTTAGTTAATTCATGTTCCGAAAATAATATTTAAAAAAAGAATTTTTGGATTTTTCCATTTATTTTGTATTTGGAAATTATTTTTAAATTTGATCTAACGGTCTCATAAAATTAAAATGATCTCAAATGATCCTGAACAAACACATACACACACACACACACACATATATATATATATATATATATATATATATATATAACACACACACACATATATATATATATATATATATATATATATATATATATATATATATATATATATATATATATATATATATATATGCATTTTTTTTTTTTTTTGATGTTGCTGGTTCTGGTTTCCTTTTATATATGGTTCAACTTCCATTCATTATTTGTGGTTAATTTGGGGGAAAAATATGTTGTCCTTGATAATGTATAAATGGACAATCGTTCCAGTCAGACCATGCCGTACGGACTAAGCGCAAAAGCAATGTTTATGTATCCTTTTATTATACGTTTGTAAACTGAAACGAATGTATATATTTAACCTACCTACCTATAATATCGTGCCTTTTACTCCCGGAAATTACTTTTTGAATTGAACCTTGTCTTTCCATAATGTGTTTGTAACAAATCAGTTAGTAGTAATTATTCATAACATTTTAGTCCCTTTCAACCCATAGTCATTTGTAATTATTTAAAACCAGTAACAAATCAGCATTAGTATGTGTTTAAAATAAGTTATATTTCAAAATATCACATCATGATATAGAATAAGAGGACTTGAGGTACATGTTTCCATTTAGAGAAATGATCACTATGGAACTCTCTGTTCCATGCTACGCTTACTCATGTACGGGAACTTTTATTCTAACATGATATAATATATAATGCTCTGGAGCTTTTAGAAGGTGCACACCGGATTTACTTTTTTCTAACATAGATCGGACATAAAGTGGTATGTCTCCCATCAAAACACATATTATGAACTAGTGTTGGGTACTCTCAATTTATTGATTTTTTCATAAAAAACTATACACTTTGTTTTTTTCTTTCGTTTTAGATGTATTCAGATCTTTTATAAAAGACGGTATATTTTTCATGACACTCAAAAGCGCATGTCGTAAAATAAATTTCATGTTTTGTGAAAATTGAAGGATTTACGACCCGTATTTTATATGTCATGTTTCATTGTCATAATTAAAATAATAGAAAAAAAAAACATTATACACCATCAAATTATGTGTCTTCTTCTCTTTGTTATATTATATGAAGGTTTGTGACAGTCAGATACACTTCAAGTATGAATAAGAAAAATAAAACCAACCTAAGCAAAATAATCAACAGAAAGTAAATAACACATAAATTCTCCAAATTGTTCATTTCACAAAGAAAATAGGTTCTATCTCCACCAAGAAGATGAGTTTGTCACAAAGACGAATGACGTAAAGCCACAATAAAAACTATCACAACCACAACAGCAACATAAGAGTTTTCCCTATAATTGTATACATATATACTAATCTATACATGTATATCTCATGCTTGAAGGATTGTATCTAATCTATACTAAGAACCGATCTTATCATAAAGATATCGGATCGGTGATCTATTCTATATTTATCTTTATCATTAACTAATATACAAAATTATTACAATCAGATAACTAAATTGTAAGTTGATGCTAATAAAATTTATACATTGGTGCTAACAATGTGTAGATGTTGACATTGATAGATCAGTGTCTTATGTTTTTGACTCATCAGATCATAAGGTATGACCCTATAATCCTCTATTTAATGATGTCAAAACTAAACGTCTTCTGATATATAAGCGGAATGTGAAACGCTTTTGGTTTGTGCTCCACCTGAGAATAATAATGACATCTTGATTATTATAGTTTTAACAAATGCTCCCCCTGAGAAGATGAATGGCTCATCAAACATTTATGAATTGCATTAGACGACGGACGAATAGATAATGAGCTTGAGTTGAGCTGAGAACGTGGACATCATCTTGACTCGACTCCCACTTAGAATGTGTTTTTCTGTTGTTTTAGTATCGAGATTGTTAGTGTTACCAAGATTCTCTCCCCCTTTTTGACATCAACAGCTAACTTCGAGCAACATAGAGTTTAAACTTGTAGTCTTGTAAGATTGTGAAGTCTCCTGATAGCATGGGCTTAAACTACCATTCTCTGACATAGTAATTCGAGATGCCATTAACGTGTGATGTCATATGCTTAATCATAAATCTCTTTTCTTAGAAGAAAAATGGAAACGGTGGATATGTGGGTATAATAATATCACAGACAATGATATACCCATCGACATAGACTTTTGAACTTTTAACAGTGTGTGGTTTTACACAGTGAATCATGAAGCTCTGTTAAGAAGATAAAGGAGAGAATAGATTGTTTCAGTCACGTTAAGGTGAAATCAACGTGAATCATTAACAATTTCACTCATCCACAAGAAGTGGTTTCGACTTCCATATCATAGAGTAAGTTGCAATCTAGAGTCAAATATTCATCGTTAATTCATAATGGTACCATGTCATTTTTGGATTAGGTGTTTAATCCCTTAACTATAATTGGTATGTACTTAACCCGATGGTAGCATGGTCCTTTTTGGGTTACCTTCACCGGAGCAATTTGATAGGATGGATATTTGAGAAAGAGGTTATTTGTTATTTATTAATATATTATATGAATAATATATTAATTGAGAAATCATATTATTTTATTGGTATTGATCAAGAATTAATTTGGAATTAATTTAGTGATAAAACGTGACTGATTAAATTTACAGAGACTGATTAGGTAAATCAGTAACAATTATGGTTTGGGCTAACGATCCATGTTGGTTAGGGATGGACTAAACATATATGAGAGTCTATGAAACTTTAGTCCAAAGGGCCTACCAAATGTGAAGATTCATGGTGAATTAGGGTTTATATGTAAGATACCTTAGGAATTCCACATTATAAAAGTAACCCCTAACATCCCTAAAATCAGATATAAGAGTTCCAAGGTGAAACCCTAGCCGATTTGTGCTTCCTAACCTCTCTCTAATTAGACTCCATTTGAGTTTGGTGTTTGTAACTTATTAGAGGTATCACACTTGAGGTACTATGCTCTTGAAAGGCCAAGAACTACAAGCTATAACTAAGAGGTATTCATCTAAGTTGTTTTTAAGTTGTATATCTTCAATTACATGCTAGCTAGGGTATATGCCTTGGATAAAATGAAATTGCATGTATAACTTGAGAAAAATTAGATCCAAAC